GGGGGGGGGGGGGGGGGGGGGGGGGGGGGGGGGGGGGGGGGGGGGGGGGGGGGGGGTTCAGGTCGACGCACCTGGAGAGGGAGCACGAGGACCTCACCCACGAGGTCTACGAGCTGAGCGCACGGCTGGCTTCCTCCAGGACGACGACGACCACCTCTTCTAGCACCGCTGCCGTCGCCCCCGCCGCCGCCGCCGGCCTGGACCCAATCGACTTCGAGAGGCGGCACATGGACGGAGGAGCGTCCGTCGGCGCCTCGGCGGCAGCCTCGGATGGTTCTGCTGGCCATTGGCCCAGGAGGAGGAGCCAGCCGGAGGAATCGGTGACGGTCAGGGCGGTCGACAGGGTAGCAAAGACCACGGCGACTTGGCGGGCATCCGGTGGCGGCGCTCACGTTAGCGGCAGCAGTAGCGAGCATCCCGACGGATATTGGGGCCCCGTACCCCGGAACAGGGCCCAGACGCATGCACGGCGCCCCCTCATCGCTTCTGGTAGTGGGGCCCGTTCGTCTAGCGTCTCGGGGGCTTCCGCGTACGACTCCGACGGTGGCTGCTACTCTCCCAGCGGTGGTCCATGGCAGTTGGTATGTCCGCCGAAGCGGCACTCGCGAGCGGCGGACGAGCTCCCCGGTCACCGCCGCCAGCAAAGGCGCCGGCGAGAACCGGAAGGGNGGGGGGGGGGGGGGGGGGGGGGGGGGGGGGGGGGGGGGGGGGGGGGGGGGGGGCGACCGTGGGACGTCGACAGCAGTCTCTCGGACGAGGACGCTGGGGACAACGGCGAATGCCATCCCGGTAGCGTTTGGTAGATCTTCCTCCTTGCCAAGGACCGGGTGGCGGAGAGTGAGGTATCGGTGACTGCCGGGATGAGGGAGCAGGGCCTTCCCGCCCCTGTGACGTTGTGCGGTTGGACCCGTTTCGCTTGCTGTCAGATTGCTGTGCGTATGCATTTGAACTTGGTTGTCCTCGTACGAACAGGCAGTGTTTGGCTGCGGGTCGCTGCGCCCCACCGAGATTGCTCTTGTGTGCTGTGCTGATTCAGTTTTGCGGTTTCCCGTTGCCAAGTAATATCTCCGATCTTTGTTAATGTCACGTCCCCGAAGCGTGCTGGCAGTCTTTCTCCCTCTTGGTGTTATTTTTCGCCTTGCGGCGGACCGGGTGCATGAGACACCCTCGCTCGTTCCACTCCGATCGCTATCATGTCTCACGCCTGTTGTGGCCTGCAGGACACAGCATTGTCCCCTGGTGTGGGCGGAGCTTGTGGTGTTCTTATTCAGGGCAACAGCCCTCGCACAAAGTTCAAGACGATAGGGATGGGAACTCACAATTTTGGAGTGGCGAACGAAAAATAGGATCGCTTCCTCAACCTTAACCTTGCAATTTGTTGGAAAATGCGCTCAGCCGCTGGGGAAAGCAGTTATGTTATGCGCCGCGCGACGTTTTCACGGGGCTTCGCCTGGGGTCATCAGTGCACACTTGACGTGCCGCTGTAGGTTTGGGTTGGCAGAAAAAGCATCTGGCAATGGCAGGATACCGCTGTCCGTCTTACGCACCAGGCATGACTGCTTGGGGCTGTGTTGGCCAATTGTTCATTGCCCGAGATGGTGTGTGTATGTTTCTTTACTGTGTGTGTCGCCTTGATGGATGCGTACCTTCGTGCTCTTTCAGGTGGTAACAGTAGTTAAAGCACGCCGTCTATGTAGTCGGGTTCACTCGATTCTGCAGCGGATTCCATGTTAATAGTATGACGAAGGCCGGGTCCCGTGGAGCGGGATAGTGTTGCAGTCTGCGTTGGTCCCCTGTGCTTTCGACGTCGATATGTACATACACCCTACGGGATTTTCTTGGATTTGGTTAGCCGGAACTTTCGAGTGTATTTGTTCGGTGCCCCCTTCCGTCATGTTAGTTGTTTGTCGCAAGGAGCTTAGCTCTGTAGTGAAAAGGGATGCAGCAGCTCCCTCCTTCCCCTCTTGGATCCCCCGTGAAGTTGAATTGTGATATGTGTGTACGCGGATGAAGTATTTGAATTGTTTCTGTCCGGACTTGTTTGGGTGGAGTGACCTCAAGAATCACCCACACTTCCATTTTTTTTTGGCCACCTTGGCGGCGACTTTACCTACCTTAGTAGGGGTATGACGATATTTGTTTGCGACTCTTTGTTAAATTTTGCCTTGATTGTGTGTGTGTGTTCGTCCCATCTATTCTGGAGCTGGTATACAGGCCTTTCGGCGTATGTCCTGACGTTCAGCGGGGGCCACACAAGAGGAAGGTCACACCGGAACTTTTTTCGTTCTGTTCGGTGTTTTTTTTTGCCGCGCATTTCCCCCTGCGGTGTTTGCCTTGATTTTATCGCGAGAAGGGTTGAGCCGTCCTCTTTCTTCGTCAACCGTGAAGCCAAAGTTCGCTTTCAACTGCAGGTTGCTGGAAGTATACCCCAGGATAGAGAAACTCCTGAGGACGAATCAAATCGAGAACCCACAACCTGCCGCGAGGGAGTCGTGCAGATTGCCCCCTAGACCACCACTGATTGATTGGTCTACGTTGTTTTTCCTGTTGTTCGCATCGCGCGCCGATCGGGAGCGATGGGCTTCCTCTTTTTTTGTCTGGATGGGGCCTCCCCAGTCTCCTATGCGTCCTACTTTTCTTTTCTGATGATTCTTGCTTCCTCCGGAGTTACTTTCACCTTCCGGTCTGACTATTGTGATCTTCTGCATCCTAGGATCTACCACTTGTAAGTATCATATTTTTCTGTAGATTGCCGTGTGCCCACGGCTGCTTCCCAAATTGATTTTTTTGTAAGTGCCGTTTATATGCTTGCTGGGTACGATGACGTCACAAGAAAGGCACTACTACTATTAGGCGTCACACGAAGAAAGGCATTACTACTACTATGTTCGTAGCGAGGAGTAGTAAGCAGAAGACTCCAAAATCCCCTGTCGTGCCGTTTGTGTCGTGTACGAGATGGCGCGTGACGGCCAGGGTGGATAGGACGAAGGTGGTACACAATATTGTGTTGTTGGTTGGTGTTGGCGTCTTCATGTATTACCGTCTCGTTCCCTCTGCCCAGCACGTTCCTCGGTCCGCGGACCTAGAGTTGGGCTAACACTCGATGAACGGAGTCGATTCTCCCGTGGTCAGTCTAAATGACCGAAAAAAGGTGGTATGTAGGAAAATTCAGAGTCCGCAAGCCAGTAGAAAAAGAAGCCAAGGACAGATTCGAGAGTTAAGGCCACTCCGCTCGTAGACGCTATGGACATGCCGAAAGAAGATCAGAATACTGCCGCAAGTATTAACACGAACCAACCGAGCTTAGGAGGGGGGGAAACTGTACTGCTGTACAATAGTCTCAACAGTTGCGATTTTCCCGTGGTGACCGTTAAGTTTACTACCGACAGTGGGTTCACAAGCCAATAGCAGAAGTGCAGGACAGATTCCAAACTGCCTAGGCCACTCCGCCATGTCTGCACGCTATTGACAATACATGCATGCCCAAAGATGACAATACTCCCGTAAGCATGAACATGAACCACCCGAGCTTGCACGGCATGGCAAAACCGTCAGACAAAACCGGGAAAAATCACGTACTACTACTATCACTACTACTACTGCTGTACGAGTACGTGCGTGCAGTGGGAAAAAAACCGAAAAACATTCCGCTCGACTGTAGGCGCTATGGACATTCATTGCGAAAGAAGATCCGAAGCGAAATGACGATGACACGCATATAGGAAATCAACAACTACTGACGCAGACACCGATAAGAGACGGGCGGAGCCCGAGCAACGGGCTGTCCTTCTCAACATGAAAGGGCACCAAACGAAAAAAACGAAGTCTGGCATACCATGCAAAAGTCGAAGGTTCGATCTTCGCCAGCACCACTCGCAAGGTGGTAGACACAGCTTTCATCCGATTCCCGCTTCCGGCATGCCTGTTATCCGTAAAAATCCAGAAATACGCGGGATTTCCCGCCTTTTGAGTTTGAAAGCCGTGCCGGGCTGTTCGTTTCTTCGACGTGGGAATCCCGTCGTCCTGGCGTGTGTTTTCGGATAAAGAGTCAACTCCCGCATGATTGTATTTCAGAGCACCAAATACAATCATTCCCGCGGCAGAACTTTATGACAGGAACCAGACAGCCAGCGTCCTTCTTTATTACGGAAGAATATAGTTAACAAGACCAAAATGATCTAATCAACGTACTCGTCCGAAAATAGACCTCTCGTGTGAATGAGAAGCCTGGCCTTACAATCTGCGTCAATCTACCGGCCATGTCCCAGAGGGACTACTTTCTGTCCTCTTACTGACCTCTCAGGAGATGAGTTGGCCACAACTTGCGAACCAACCCACAGTATCCCGCGAGACAAAAGTTGAGGGTGGCACTCGCATCCCTATCACACCTAAATGCCACCCCGTTTTCGAAAAGAGGACAGGGATTTTCAACGCCCACGCAAACAGTTGTACACTGTCGCACACGCTGACCACCCTGAACGTCAGTCATCTCCCCGCCACACCCCCCGGGGCACATCTTGGAAGTCCTGAACTCGTCCAACATCCCCACATTCACCCTCGAACAGATAGCCCTCACGAGCTTCTTTCGAGGCGCGGAGGCGTGCCCTTTCATCGCCCTGAAGCTCCCGTTCCCGAACAGAACGATGTTCTTGCGGTCGGAAGGGCACGCAGCTATGTTCGAAGCCAGCTTGTCAACAGTCTTCTGTACAAGCCTCGATGAGTGAAACCTCGACCTCTTCCTCGCCCTCTTCATCTTTTCCGCGAACATAACCTTGAACGTTTCAGCCGCCACACGACAGTACGCGAGAAAAGACGACTTTCTGGCTGTCTTCTTCTTGACCGCGGAAAATCTGGGGAAACACCGCCCGTACTCGTCGTTCGACCTCCTCTTCTTCTCTCGCCCTTCCAGCATGGTCCTACCAGACTTCACGGAGTACTCGGTTCCCTTCATTTCCCAGTCCGTGCTTTTCTCGCGAACGCTCCCGACACACCTGCAGAATTCCAGGGGACACGACCTCACAGAAACCACTGAAGCGCACCCTGGATCGACGACGGTCAGGTTGTATGCAAGAACTCGGTCAGCGACTATCTTCCGACTGTCCTTTCTCGCCTGGGAGAGCACGAACAAGCCCCGCTCTTGCGTTTCCAGGGAGACCACCTTCTTGGCAATCTGATACCCAGACTTGGCCAGATCTGTTGTACCAGGAACGTGAGGCTTTTTGGATACCAGGGCCATAAAGGTCACCTGAACCTGGTAGCCGTCTGACCGAAATCCCGACGGCTTGTACCCTTTCCTATTAACCCTCCTAAGGTCGAAGTGCTCGGAAATAAACCTTGAGACGGACGAGAAGTCGTGACCCTCCTTGTGAAAAATGCTCCCGACCACGGAAGAAGAGTAGTATGGAAAGCACGGGGCTAGCTTCCAGACAGGGAGGACCGTGCACATCTTCGGTCGATCCACGAGTCCTCGCTTGATCCTCTCTGATATGTAGAAGGCCTTCCTCACTTTTTCCTCATCGGATCTCGTCTTTGTTTCCTCTCGGAGGGCCCTATTGTTATCGGACGCCTCCTCGGCAACGCGTGAGATCATGCTGATCAGTTCGAGGAACAGATGGGGCTTTTTCTTCAAGATCTTGAGCACTGGTACGTCCGGTTCGGTTGAGTAAACTTGTGCGAGAAGGTCCCTCACTTGTAGCACGTGGGGTACGTACCCAGGATCGAGGTCTTCTCTCATCTCTCGTTCAAGACAGTCGTTTGACAGAGAGACGATAATTCTCGATCGATCCTTCGCGGGGAGGTGTTGGAATGCCAACTGGGAATCGTTCATGAGCCTGAACCTCAGGAACCCCTTGATCTTGGCCTCCAGGTGCACGACAATAGAGTTCTTGGCAGATACCTCCATTTCTCTCGTGACTGTTTCTTGGAGTCGACAGGGGACCTTGGGAGGGAAGAGAGATGTGTCGAAACCGGATTGGTCGATGAACTCGTCGAGTAGGTCGGAGAAGTCGTTTCTCGTGTTCTTTCCGGATATGCGGATGTTGATGGCGGCCCAACACCTATCGTAGAAGACCTTCTTGACCTCAGGAGGTTGCAGGCCCTGTTCGAGTCTCCTGATGACGACGTAGTTTGAGAATAGACCAACGATGTACCTGAAGGACCCGGTGTACCTGGACATTCTCTCGAGGCGGTCTCGAATGTACTTTGGCATCACAGATTTCACCAGAGTCCTCTCGAGATCCAGACATATACACGACTGTCTCGTTGAGCCTGACTCTTCATCGCCTTCTGCGCGTAGCGATTGTTCCACACCGCTCTTCCGAGTGCATCTTTTCTTCGCGCGTGGGTCTGGATTCTCGGTGTCGACTTCCATGTTGCCCGCGGTTTAGTGGAGGCCTGTTCACAGGGTGCAACTCTTGCGAATATGTTATCCTTCGTCGCTACGTAGTGTAGGAGCTTACGGGGTTTGCAATAGGTTCCCCAAGGATGCATGTGAAGATCACCAACGATGAGATTGAAAGTGAATGCGGCAGGAACTCTTTGGAAACCCCTCGCCGAATGCCGACACAGCAGAGGTCCTGCGTCTGTGAGCCAAGGGACTCGAACGTGGACAGCACGGAACCTGCAGTGACAGAGGTAAGCTTCCGCATCGTCGGTAACATTGTCCTTGGTATTGTTCCGACGGCTGTATTGGCTCGGTAACATCCTTCATTGATTCATGGTACACAGCAGCTGCTGCGGTTGTGCCATATTCGTACGCTTGGACCCCAGTGCCGAGACGAAAGTGCTCAGCGTACTGCGTAATCGTGGGCAACGGCACAGGAATAACCTTTATCGCCGACTCACTACACGTTTCTGCCGGGTTTCACTCCAGTTGGAAGTCCTTGAGGTGTGTACACAATACAGGCCAGACTATGGGATAGCGACCCGGTGGATAGCAGCAGATGGACTTCACTCCGTTTGCCTTCTGACTGGTGTCAAGATGAGAAATTCCACGGTTGTTGGCCTCAGTCCTCCAAAGTGTCAGCGGTGCGGGGAACTAGAGAGCCTCTCACGCCACTCTGGCAGCAGGTGTTTCATTTCGCGGAATTTCCGCCTTCCACCCAATTTTGTAGGCGACTCTTGACCTGCGCGCGTAACGGAGAGACCCTACGCGGTGTACAACCATGGCTTCCACCCTTGGCGTCCTTGACGTCCTCAGCAAACTCCGTGAGGAATCAGAGAGAGCTTCCACCGCCTTGACGGCTCAGCAGGTGATACATTGACTATTTTCCGATGTGAGGAAAACACTTCGACTACATCATTGAGGTTCGAAAGAGTTGTTCAAGAGAGAGAGAGAGAAGATGGACCCTCAAGTCTGATTGACCCTGAGCCGATCATCGTCTTCCCTTTCCAATGAACAACGTATCGCATGCTTCCCAGGAAACCAACCGAACGCTTCTCAAGAAATGTATCGAGGCCGAGACGGAAAGCGGCCGCACAGACGAGGCCAAAGGAGCGCTCCAACATCGAAAGGTGAGAAATATCTCTAGCAAAAATCCACCAATCGATTCACGCCCGCCCTAGAGGAGGTTTGAGCGGTATTCCACGACTCAATCCGGCTGAATTTCACACACGCACGCAAAGAATACAGAAAGGCCCCCTAGGTGAGGATATCTTGGCACAGTTTCATTTCACAACAGTACCGTAGTGAAAGTCTGCTGCTGCGAGCCACAACCAAGACATCTTGGGCCCAATCACTCAAAGAATTCATTCTTCTGCTGTGACTTGCTGGAGAGTGAGTAGGCCGCAGGACGCCTGTTGTCCGTTTCCAAGGGCATGCGTGGGGATGGGTTGAGGTACCGTAAATGACACAACATAGCACACACCCTGGATCAATTTTAATGCTCGATCACTCCAAAACGAAACGGTACGTTTCCGGAGAGTTCTCGACCAGGCGGCTTCAACGCCGGTACTTTCGGCGCTGCTACTCTTTGTGTTATCGACAAAATCGAACTTTGAACATTTATTTGTCCATGGGGTGTGTTATCTTGTGTTGTACACGGAAATCGGTTGGATAGTTTGGGCCACGTATCAATGCCATCTATCTCCGATGGGCTTGTTATATCCAGAAGCCATTGTCGGCCACGCAAGCTACCCGGACGTACAAGTTCGATATATTGTTTGCGTCAGAAGGCGGGCGACTCATTGCATCACTGGACACGAACATCCACGATGCGCAGCAATATTCATTCTGCTCATTGAAGCGGTCGACCAAGGCCTCGATCACTTTCTCTTTCTTGCTGTTTTAGGTGCAGCTTGAGCAGGAGCATAGGAACGCAGAGGCCGGGCGTCGAGAGGCCGAAAGCAGGCTGAGAAGGCTACAAAAGCAGCAGGCTCGGTGAGAACCATCCGATGATGCTCGGAGTAAAAATCGCCAAATAATATCGTGCGGTATCGTGTGGTGCATAGCTGTTGTTGCGTGGGGGGATTTGAGAACTAGAGTCATCAGGTGTTCAATACATGTGCTCAGTGTCGTCAACGAATGCCAAAACGCAATCTAAGATAGTCGTTGAACAATCACATGTCGGCGAACACTGACGCACGTTGGACGAGGTGGCAAACGCATCCAGTGATGCGGAATACACATAACACAAATCTCATGCGCATTTTTTTGTTGTCCGATGACATCGTCTGCCCCAAAATCGCTTCGTTGCCACTACAAAACAGGCGCCAACAGGCCGCTGCGCGCATGCGGGAAAATACTACAGCTGCAGGCGCGCGCGCCGTGGCGATGTCGAAGGTGTTTGTCCATGGCAGTGGCGGTCCGTTGGCTCAGATCAAGCACTTGATGATTGACCACGACCGTGTGTGAACTCCTACCAGTGTGTCGTTCATCCTGACCAATCACTGAACTTTCTCGCCAGTGACAGTCGCGCGCTCGAGACTTGATATACGGCTTCAAGAAAAAACATCGACCGTACGACAGCCGTTGTTGGTGGCTAGTCAGTGACTTGCGATATCGAGGATGAAGAACTACCCAGGTCACGAAGCGGAAAATGCCATGAAAGCACACTTACTTCAATTTTCACTCTTTACCTTGATTCTTCAATCACGAGTGCCCATCCATGTCGTCGTTCCGAGTTGGTACCAATTTCACTTCACGATGAAAGTGCCCGTTGCATGCGCTTCCTCCCTATAATAGGTGTGAAATATTGATTCACTGTTCTTGATGGGAATCGAGTGAGGTGTTGAGGCCTCCTCTTGATATCTCAGTACAGCTTGACTTCTTCCTATCCCAGATATTCCGGGCGAATGCCTTCGACAGCGTGCGTCAGATCGGTGAGCTCCGAGCACGCCTTCGTGACAAACGGGGCGAGCTTGGAAGGTACGGTTGTTTAGGGCTGATGGCGGATAGTGCAAGGTCGTGGTGTAGAAGCCTTTCCAGAACGACTTACCGGTGGTGCCTGAGAGCCTCGATGCTGTCATTTCAGACGAACGTCGGATGATATATGGTGGGAAGGTGATTGTCCTGTGCGGGCCGCTGGTCTATTTCTCCCGTGTGCACGTCATCAACATACAAGTTATCGTTCACAAGTGCATCCCCCCGTCCCCCCGTCACGTCTAGCGCCGAGGAAGAGAAGAGGGAGCTGGACGTGGAGATCGGCAACAAGAAGGCCACACGAGACAAGGTGCGAAACAGTCGAGAATAACGGCCTCTGGCTTGCCCGGTGCCCCGAAATGGTTGTTTAGATGAACATACGCCCCTATCCACAGCCCCTTGGGGGTTAAGACTGGGTGCTCATCATCTCCACACTCGGGTATTTTGGTGTCATTGTGATGAAGGTGAAGGCCGAAGTGGCATCGCGGCTGGAGGCCGTCACGACCTCTTGCTCGAAGGTTGACGACATTGATCGTGAGAACAAGTCCTTGCTGGCGAGAGCGAAGAGAGTGGAGGGAGAGGTGACGATATCACAATTTCTCGCATTCGGGAAGCAGGGATGAACAAGGAAAAACATTTGTGTTATTCCTGGGTGACACATGCGCGTCATTTCATGAACGCACTAACCGAACTGCCAACAAGTTGGTTGATCGTTCCCCGTGCCATGCTTTCGAGAAAGACCACGCTTTCAGAGTAGATATCACAATTCCTTGAAAGCATGAGAGCGGACAATTCATTCCCGTACCGGCGCAAATTGTGTTTAGCCTCCGCCCTTGCCTTGTCTTGGTCTTGCCATGTAGGTGTGCAGTAGAGCACAGCCTACCAAACTTCGCTCAAGTCGACCGAACACCACCGCTCATTGCTGCGTAATAGCCCCTTGCTCAGTCATTTCTTTGCGAGCGACATGGAAATGGTTCACACCTCGCGCCCGCGGGAATTGGTTCGTCGTTTCGTTTGTTGGGAGTGGTATATAGCTTCACACACGAACGAGAATATGGAGAAACGACCGGTCAACGAGACCAATGACCCGGTTTCAACAACAGATCGACGAGATAAGGGAAGCTCAGGAGGAGATGCAGGAAATGGCGGTTGGCCTCCAAAGAAAAAACGCAATCCTCAGGCATGAGCTCCGCTATCTTAAGCGCGAACTCGAAGGAGATAACCCTGGACAGCCACACATGTTATCTTCCCGCGACCAAGGTTGCAACAGCAACAACATCAGTGCTCACGGTATTGGAAACGGAAGGTACAGAGCGAATGGCTGGGTGTCGGTTTGTCGTGTTATTAGTGTTGGTAGCGGAAGCTGCAGACAGGTGGATGTGGCTTGTGTTTGTCTTTGTGTTTGGTGTTGGTGTTGGCGATGACTTCGGGATGCACTTGAAGTATGACCTTGTTGGGGGGGAAAAATCGGGGGAACTCAATGCTATGAAACGGTGCCATCCGACATCGATGACTGATGCCACAGCTTTTGTGGCACCTTTAAAAAAAATACTTGCTCGAACAACATGCATAGCGTGTGCTGTGATGTGCTGTAATATGGATACTTGTGTTCGTGCACCCCCGGCGTCTCAGTCAAAGATCGTCGTCCACATCACGTGCGGGAGGAAATTTTCACCAAGGAAACGGAGGAGGAGGAAAACAGGGAAGCCAGTTCTACCACCATAGCGCCGCCCCCCAGCATGGCGAAGGAAGGCAACATTCCATCCACACGCCTTGAGTACGACAATTTGGCCCACCAGAGACAACGTCTGAATATGAGTCCACGGCGGTTGGGACTGGCCGTGACAGTTGAGGATTTTTCTTTTTCGTGCACACCATGCAGGCGAAAGCTATTATAGCAGGAGACAAACACAACAACCCAACTCTGTTTGCCACAACAAGTCCTAGGGAACGCAACATGAGCATAAAGCCGATATCGCTAGCCACACGACAGGCAAAATGTTGGACCATGTGGCTGTCCGTGCGGGCACTTGGGTGCACACCTAGCGCGCTGAGGCACAAGATGCATGCGTCCCTTCCCTAGTGCGCAGTTGGTCGTGTTTGCGGCATCGTCTATTCTGCAAGAAGACCTGAACACCTACACGCAAAGACCTGAAATGCACTCACTTGCCACAACACCTTTCAAGCTCGAACCCGTTCGTTGGAGTGCGCATTGCTTTCACCCCATTCCTTTTTTCATTAGAGCGTGGGCATGTGTCCGCTGCTTCGATCAACTGGGCTCAGCGTGGGCATTCACTCTGGGCCTTTGTTTGCGCATTCGGTGTTGCTTTGCCGTGGACACTGCTGCTACTGCTGTACAAGAAAGCGCGAAGTCAATAATAATGAAGAGCCTACAGAGCACAGAGCCGCTGCAGCTGCTGCATCTGCTCCGTGTCGTTCTATCAGCACATCACTGTCCCCACGCTCCGCGGATAGAGTGCAGTGGTAGGATGCCATGTCCTAGCAGTTTTCAGTTCGAAAGGTGGTCTGTCGGGTAAGAAATCCAAAGCTAGCTGTGCCCTCTGAATTGCTCTCAACCCCGTGCCACAACGAACGGCTGTGAAAAGTACATTTTGTATAAAAGGGTTGTGTTTCAGCATTGTTATTTGTTTGTTGTACCCGAGACAACGACGAGTGAGCTTGCACGCGGACATCATGTGATTGTGCTGCGAGGAGCTATTTTCGTACGCGCTCCAATGATGCCTTCCTGTATGGTAATTCAGCAGAGCAGCTTCTGGGCATTCGAAGAAGTCGCAAGTGGCAGACCAACAAACTTCGGGTGGGTTCGATCACGCTACTGCTGCTGTAGACTATTTGAGATTTTTTTGAACGTTGTTGAACGAGTGGCGCAGGTCAAACAAAACAATGAGTTTAGAACGCCAGACTAGATAACCACGCACACCGTGCCAATAAATGTCATCTTACCAAGGAAGTGCGGCATTTTTCACTCGACAAGAGTATCGATTCCGACCACATTTTCACTCGATTCAAGTAACGATTCCGATCACATTATACACTTGATGAAAGTATCGAAATTTCGGACAAGATTTCCTTATCGCTTTTCTGCGGGATTGTGCTGGCTAAATTTGCAATTGGGGAAGTAAATCTTGTTGACCCTTTGGGAATATTAGTTGGCCTGTGACAGCGAAACGCGCTCGAGTCGGTTCACCAGTCAGTAGGGGTGTGAGAAGGTAATGAGTAGAGACCGGACGATTTTTTTGTGTGAAGGCAACAACAACAATGTGTGAGAAAATCGTAGCATGACTGCGCCCGACATTCCAACTCTCACCCCAAGTGTCGGAGGTGTGCGAGGGTACAACCTGAGCTTGGCGATCAGCTTTGGTACTCCCGACGAGTGTCTGATCTCTTTTGCCGCCAATAGCAGCGAGTGCTCTACTTATTCCTTCTGCACCGGCCTGGACAGAATGAACCATACCCGTTTTCAAGAACGGATGGTGGCATGGGCCGAGACGATCTTTATGAAGACGATTTTGCCGCTGCAATGCATACATTCGAACACCATGTAGTAGGCATTGCAGCTGTATATTCGCTGGCATTGTTGGCTCTCTGACGTTATTGAATTTTTTTTTCTGCACTGCAGGACACACGCCACCCTTCCAGATGCAGACGCAAGAGTATATGTCATGGAACATGCAACAAAAACAAAATAACGAGTGAACATGATAATGATCAGAATGAATGTGCCGTCGACATCGATCTCATCCACGTGGCTGAAGGCGGGCACCGTGTCCACGTACATCAGTGCCGTCGCACGTGCTCCGTTGACATCACACACGCTGCCATTTTCTTTGGGAAAAGACACCACCCACAAGAACCGACCAATCATTCGGCAGCTGCTTCAACTCTATCCCCAACTATTCATTACTCCCTATGCATTGCTGCTGCTTCCACCGTCGCAGCTGCCTTTTTTTTGTAGGGGCGCGTTGCAGCCCAGGAGGTGTTCCTTGAGCTTGGTCATGTTCGTCATCGGTGATTGGCACCGGAAGCATCGTAGCGGGGTAGCCTCCAGCGCCTTCAGCCTGCGGAGAAGAAGAACCACCCACGAACCAATTGGAAGCGAGAGTCATAACAGGAAGAATAACATCCACGGCACAGTTGCATCATTACTAACCGCGAAACATGAAGCAAGCAATATCGGTTGTTACCCGTGTGGGGAAGATTCTGAGTGGGCGATTTGCGTTCGACGACTCCGAAAGTCTCTAAGCCCTGCCGTGCATGAGGCTCGTGCTGAATCAAGCGCTTCATGATGAAGGAAGGGGTTAATCCTATGCAAAAACAGCAGGATGGCCTGACAGACTGAAAAAGGCACACTTTTGTGTCACTCTCGTCCACAACGGAAGTTTCCCGCCGGCTGCACTGCTCCCCGCCGAGGGCAAGCGTATGCCAACATCCAACAATGGAGCGACATGAGGGGTGGTGACATGGCACAGCGGGTATGCTCTGCAGCTGCAAATGACGCACGGGCTGCACCACGCGTGCGTACACCCTCACAATAACAGCGACGAAGCTAGGAAAATGCATTCTACGCTGACAACAACAACGTGGACAGAACGTGTCCACACCGTTAACTGTTCGTCGAACGACAACGAGTGATTTGCGCCTCGTTTCTGTAGCAAGTCTCGTTATCGCTGAAAGGCAATCCTGACGGTGTATTCATTCCGACTAGGATGTACCCAAGGCAAATAGCGCGCGGCTAACTGCGACAATGCTCAGGAACAAACCTCGCCGGATCCACCAGATTCGAAAATATCGAAAAGGTCCGTGTATGAACAATGAAATGAGTCTTCATGAGGAATGGGGAGCATGTGAAGCTCTCGAATGTCAAAGCACCTCTCTTTGTCGAGCTCGAGACTCCCACGCTCCAGCAGCCGCGCTTCCACCCAAGAAGCATCCAGGAAAAAATCTGCGGAATGCGGGGAGAGTCCCAGATACCCCAAAAAGCCAAGTGAAGGCGTGGCAAATGGGCAGCGTGGTAAATGGGTGTGGTGATAAATGGGCAATACATAAACAACACAAACACCATATAAGTTATGACCAAACTCAAGCTCAGTCCGTACACGACTAGGCCGGATCAGCCTCCACAGGGTTTCGGGGAAAACAGCATGGCAGTACGTGGGAATGAATTACGCTCAGACCAGCGTTCATAGCGTGGTTCTGTGTTGTTGGAAAGAGTTAAACGTGACTTGGCTGGAAGGTGGTGCAACCAATAGTGGGCCCACAGGCTCAAAACAACCTCATGGAAACGGATGGCAAACATGCAGCAGCGGTACAAACGACACCCTCGGTATATCACACATGAACGTGCCCCTTGCCAAAGTGATCGTGGGGCAAATTGTGCTAACCCGAACCCATCAAGGTTAGAACCAGTGTTGCACGGGGCCACAAGGGCAGCCACGGATGGAAACATGTGCAGCCGGGCGTTGTGAAGTGACAATATCGACCCCGGAAGCAATACATTTCAAATGCTGCGGTGAAAAGTTCATCACTTAAGGCAGAGTATGCCCACGTTGGCCACACCCGGCACACGCTCAAAAACGTCTGGCATCAGCTGGCACCTTGGGTGTCGAAAAGTCAGTAGCGCTGCCACGCTAGGTGTGTTTGAAACTCAAAATAGTTTTACGTTTTCGAGCAGGGCGACACCCCGGCACAACTTCCTTTTACCTCAGAAATAAATAGGCCTTCACCGCCGATTCGACGAGTTTCGTTTCCGATTGGTTCTCCCACTGCTGTCTGTAATACCAAACGTGCACATCAAGGCCAGGCCGAAAACCCGTCGAGCATCCTCAGCAGCGGCGGAGAGCGATGACGTTTCATTCACGTGCCTGTGGTAAAGCTGTTCCAGTGCTTGCGCTTTGTGAGACGTTCACTGTCGAAGTCCTGGCTGATGATGTGCAGGTGCAGCGGCTCCAGAGACGGAATGCCGTGATAGCCGCACCTTGACAATAATTGGATGCGGGATGCAGCAATTAGCAGCGTCACTGCGATGACTTGTTAGTGCGTTCGAATATTGCGACGACCCCCCGCGCCTTCACTCTGCGTGTACCATACCAGCACTGACAGCGGTTCACAAAAGGATCACCAAGACTTTCGGAACACTCGCAGAAACATGGAATCGACTCTCGCCAGCCAAGCGAGCGAATGCCAAGAATCAGAGCGTTCTGTGTGTGAGGGTCAAACTGGAACATGGCGTGTTCACCCGCGGGGGCGCGATTCCGTGCCCCGCGTAGGCAGAATTGCTTTGCTGTCGACATGTCCGGAAAACCGGCCGGCAGTGGAGACGAACTGTTCGCATGTATACCATATGTACACACACCAGCTTGCAACCTGCGGGCTTTCTGGAACGACCAACCTCCTTTCTTCGCGTGTCTTCCACTCGACTCCCCTCTCTTCCGTTCCCGTCCAAACTGCACGCCATCGTTGTCGTGGAAGCGATCAACCCAGCACATGAGTTGCGCGAAAAAAAAGAAAAGAAATATCACCCGGGCATCCATAAGTTTACATACTGTTGCAGTCGATTGGCGGTACCTTTCACCGTACCTGATAACCCCAGCCCCCTGTTGAGATAACGCCTCCGCCACCGCCGCTGCTGTGGCGTGTAGCTGGCGCAGGCTTGAGAGGTGCTCATCCCTGCGGAGCTCCGAAGCTTGTTTCACGTCTAGGAACTTCAAGGTGAAGGTGCGGAGTTCGTTTGTCGTTGTTGGCATCGAAGGAATACAGCGAGGGAGCCCGGAGTAAGGAGCCACAGCAGTAGTAGGCATGGGAGGCGTGTACGGGAACCTTGGGAGCGACGGCCATGAGACGGAGAACGTGATACGTGTGCGATTGCACATGTCCTTTTTCGCTTGCAGTGTTAGGGCGAGACACGTACACGTACCCTGTCGAGACTGATCGCCACACATTCTTACATATCTCTGGATCACTCGCTCGATTTTTGCCACATTTCGAACGATACATGTATTGGGCAAGCAAACAAATCTGCTCTTTGGAGGAAGTTCCCCGAGCTCGTCGCGACGCGGGAGTTACGCGTCGGGAAAAGCAGCAGAGACAATACTTCACCCCCGGGGGCCGCTGCAATACCAAACAACAAAGTGTGGAAGCGTTAAATCAACCTGAACAACATAGAAAAACCTTTTCGTCACTCTCAACACGGGTGCGCAGCCAGACCGACCAAGAGATTCCGCATCATTTCACGGAACAAGTGATCCGACAGAGCCAAGCACGGCTTGAAAACAATGCGAAGTCAAGCCAAGAAAATCAGCGACAAAGTCAGGACGACCCGGACACTGACGTAGAACGGTAGAACACACCACCCAGACGAAATTCACGTTCCTCACGTCACGCCTCCCACCTTCGGTTTGGGCAGCAGGAGCAGGTGATACCGCGACTTGGGGTAGCCGTCGTAGACGACAACGCACTGATCATTCGAGAAAAAAACCTCGCGCTGTAGACGAAGTGGCACAGTGCATACAAAAGAATTTTTCCAATGGCAGCGTCGGCAAGGGGGTAAACAATGCCAGCGCGAAACTCGAGCTTGTACCCAAAGAGGTTAGAGGGTTGTTCGGGCGTGTATACGCCGCCGACGAACGAGAACTCATGGAAAAACGTTTTCGAAATCCTCATGCGTTCACAGCACGAAAGCATACGAGTTTCTCATATTGAAACCCCAGCCAACCAAGCACAATCTCCCTCAAAGAGAGTGAAATCACTGGTGACGGCGGCAAGGCGCACACAGTGACCAATGAGGTCATGGTGCGCGGGATTGATCCAATCAATATCGGTACACGTGGAGCAAGTGCTGAAACACCACCATGTGCTCTACTAGAAATACTGTTGATTTATTCATAATTGAAACACTTTTACCTACTCCGCACGGACTTACAAACCAAGAAGGTGCTCGGCCAGGCATGAAATGAACTCCGAAACAATTCGAAGAACACGCCCACCTTCCGCATGCTCCGCCCCACACCTTGCGCCGGTACGAATGGCAACCCCCCCCCAACATGCCATATCATGTCCGCGAAAACTTGATAGATTCGACGTAGTACATAGACCCGCTGTACCTGTAGCTCGTCGGGCATCGGCCTATCCTTCAGGTACTGAAACAGCACCGCCTTCCAGTGCCCGGCGCCTTTCACGGGAACTGGTGGTGTTTGTCGGTACTCGGGCAAGGCTAAGGCTCTTGCGAGGAAGGTCGCCGAAAACACGGAGGGAAAATGTGGGGAAGCGCGACAACGACGGTGAACGTCAACATCAAACACGAACACATCAATCTTCATCAACCCTGCCGGCTATTCATTGCTGTTGTGCAAACTTTCTGGCACGCATCATGAGCAGGCAAGCATCTAGCATGAGTACCAAGAGTTAAATGGCCAATCACAGGGCAACCGGATGCACACAGCCTGGTGGCAGTAGAGCAGAAATCCTTCAACAGGCGCTAGCTTCCCACGGCACCGAGTGCAAGGGCGCCTTCAACACAACAAACCAACTTCGAGCGACGGTCGCACGACAGTAGCATCACAGCATCACCAAACCCGCCGAGTGGCGGGCGAGTGACGAACGAAAGATGAACGCAAACAACACGTCAGATGTCTTCTTCTACTCACCGTTTCCGTTTCGTCACGCCCTCCTTCCCGACCGCAGTATCAGCACCAGCGGCACTACCACCACCACCACTGGCACCCGGAGCAGCAGCAGCAGAGGCCGCCGCAGCGTCATCGGCAGCAGCAGTGGGCGTAGCGACAACGGCAGCTGCGCCGGATGTTTCCGACGATACCAGTTTCCAGAAGCTATCGAGGGACTTATCGTAGCACTCACGGAGGAGGTAGCGCGCTCGGTCGGGCTCGTTGGCAAGGCACTCGGCGAACCGCGGGTCTAGGTTTGGTCCTAGAACCTGGACAATCACACGTTCATTGGCGAACGACACGCAAGCACGTGGACTTGGTGCAGGCGGTGGGTCTTCTATAGACGGAATGATGTGGAACTGACACGTTTGATCGCTGCAAACGAACGCTTGATATTTCTGCGAGAAGTCAGCGCCGCAACTGTATGACGGGGTTGAGCCATCGCGCTGCATCACTCCAACATCGTTTTAGCATTGCACGTTAACATGGTTGCCAACGAGCTTCGTTCTCTTGGAGGAGATCAAAGGTACGAAACTCTCCAGATAGACACGACGAGACGAGATGGATCCGGTCGACTGGCTCATGTCGCACAATGATTCTCTTGCCCTGCAGTGCTTGCAATTTCAGCGCCCGGCCCAAACGGGCTTCCCCACTCCTGGGGCATAACATTCCATTCTATCCTTGGGACGCGCCTATTCGACGCTTCGGGATCCACTTTTCATCGTCCACTTCACCAATCGCGAACGCACCTGGATCACGGTATCGACTCCTTCGCTGCGCAGAGGAGAGTCCTGGGAGAGCTGTAACATTTTCGGGGGCGGCGTAGGTTTCGCGAAATCGTTCGGTTACTTCTTGCCTAGAGACTCCTCACGCATACTTTGTAAACAATGAGGGTAATCTGGCCGACCTTCAATGCACGACACATGTCATCTCTCTGTGCTTCAACCTTCTCCGAGGCTACGACGGGGTTCACGAAACGCCAGCGCCCTCTTACTCATTGAGTCCTTTGTTGGTGAATCGCACTCTTTTACGTCCGCTGGAACATCTGCAAGAATCTTTCGCCGCGAGCGCTCCGGCGAAAAGTCCGCTCTGTTAGTGCTACAACCAGCCATCCCTTGCTACCCATATCCATAGCTTGGAAGACCCACACCTTAACCGCGAAAGGTTCCGCAACCAGAGCTCTCGTACGGCCGCCCTCTAAGCTACCCTGCCGCAAGGAATCTCCCGCTGCACGGTTGACGAGCATGTTTGTCCTCGCGCCACCAGCGACCTGTGTCGGAAAATTTTGAATTTTGCCCAACACCGTTGTCGATGCTATTGGCAGACGCTGGCGCACACACTCATTTCCACAGCGTCAAATTTTGTTGAGAAGAACTTGGTCGCCAGAGGACCGCTGTGAGGTGAGGCCTTTCGGTGACAACAGGGGAGGCGAGCCGGCAGGTGGCGCACCGAACAGCGGAGCTACATGGTTATACGGCCACAGGGCAACATAAACATTGGGCGAAGGTCATGTGACAGGGCAAGGGGTGGCCGAAACACGTTGGGCCTGTCTTGATTCGTTGCTGTCGCCATTCATCATGATCGGTCGCGAAAATATTCCAAATGAATAACTCACCAGGCGCCAGTTGCAAGGGTTGACGAGGTAGGCGCAGCGGGCTCCGGCCTTGCCCACATCCGGCAGCGCGCAAGCTTTCATCAGCAATCGCCTGCTGAGAGCCCGTTCATCCCCATAAGTGTTTTGCGTGCTTTCGTCCTATTTGTTGGCGGCAGTCCCCCATTTCTCGTGGTGAGCCGCGTACCACACGTTTCAGTGTAGACTGTGTGGACTTTTCAGCATATTTTTTCGTGCAACTACAATCATCCAGTGTCACACAGGAGGGGGAAAACACCGGGGCTTTTTTTTTTTTTTTCGTGTCCCACCTTTCTCCTGCGGTGCGTGCTGAATTTTGCTTTTTTTCGCGAGAAGGGTCCAGCCGTCCCTTTCCCTCGTCGACGGTTCTGACGTCGAAGTTCACGTTTAAGTTTGTTACTCAAGGGAGCTTTTCAGTCTTTTTCGCTTTCACCCCTAAGTTTGTAATTTTTCACCCCACGGTGATTCGACGTCACGGCTTCGCCACTATGTAGCGGTTAAGAGGTTGCCACTCGAAGTATAAGTATAAGTTTGGTTCTCAAGAGGGCTTTTCAGTCTTTTGCGCTTTCACCCCCAGGTTTGTAATTTTTCCCCCAAGGTGATTCGAGGTCACGGCTTCGCCACTATGTAGCGGTTAATAGTTTGCCACTCTTAGACCCACGGGACGATCGGCTTTTTCATGTACTCATGGAAACTGTAGGCATCCACGCTAGCACTAGAACACAGAATATTACCGCCCAACGTCGATTGGCAATCAAAGTCGGCAGCGGTTCAGGCTACAATAAAGACTGAGTCACTACACCCGAAGCAGGGCGCATTAGACCTGCTGCTTTCGCGAGTTCGCGCTTTCGCTGGTGGCTACTCAAGGTGCGCTCCGCCCCATCGACGATTTGGCTGCTCTGCGCTGCGGCTGCAGCTCACCTCCTGGTGTACCTGCTTTTGTACCTACACTCGGCCAACGTGATTGCACGACTCACGATTCGTGTCTCGCTTCCGCCAATCCTGGGGCGTGCTCCCGTAGGGCTGCAAGTGCGGTCGATTCTTCCTCGGCCGCAAGCACCACGCGTAGTCCAGGGAACCGCGCTCTAGTCCTGCACGGTGAGGAGAGAAAGTCGAGGGCCGCAGCGACAGCCACGGGAGCCACATCTCCTTCCTTTCGTTGCCGATGCAGCCAGGTGAGTGGCAGTGATCAAGCAATATGCCACGGGTGCAAGAAATCGACGCGCGGTCGAACGACGAGTGGTTGCAAAACGAGAGAGAAGACACAGTAATAGTGGCGCAGGTCATGCACCACTCACGCACCAAAGGCATGTGCACGAGGCGTTTGTACCCGATCAATTATTTGTGGGAACGCTGTTGAACACGTTCTCAGCAGCGGTAGGTTGGGTGCCTTCAGAACATGGAATGCAATCTACGTGTCTATCATGCATATGTACCCCAACTCAAAGGACTCGCTGACGTATACAACGTGTACACACTCGGCGCATTGTAGCACGTCTTTTCTCCGAGGTGCCATAGCGCGGTAATGACAGTCCCGTGACGGTACCCGAGCAATCTCATCTTGTCCGTAAACTGCGAATGACCGTTTTCGCCTACCACTCTCAGGTGACACGTTGAGCAAAAGCCTGTCTTCCATATGTTGCTCTAGAAATCTTGCGCTTGGTCGATCTCGAGCATCCTGCCATCCTGCATCCTGCCTCCGCACAACCAAGGACGCAAATGCGGCGCAACTTGCCAAGCTTACCTCAAATCCACCACCTTCTGTCGACAACAACGTAAGCGCAACGGACAGGCGAGGATCACCAGCACCCTGCGACGAGTGTGCCTCCATAGGTCAAATCAGCGACAGCCACGGATCTCACGGCGCTGACAGTATGAGGTGTGTGGAGAGCAGGTCTGAGAAGATGAGACCATCGCCACCGTCCCCCCTCCCCAAAAAAAGGAAAAGCGTTACGCGTAAAACTGCCTGTAACTGTTGCGCGGCAGTGATACCGTCACACCGGTCGCCCTGGTGGTCTAGTAGGTGACCTCGCAGCCTGCTTAGGACCAGGTCATGGGTTCGAGTCCCGGCAGAGTGACTTTTTTTCTCACTAAATAAATCTTGGTCTAGGATGAAAGCCACCCATTGCAATGCTCGTTGTTAGTAAGCAAAAATCGACTTCGTAAGTCGCGAGGGAAGGAATTGCTGTACCCTTCTCGCGATAAAAATACCTCAGGTAGGAAACGCAGGAGGGGGTCCAGCGCCCCCTCCTATGCGCGGTCCTGGTCGACCCCATGAGCGGTGCGACTTTGCAGGCCCTACCCATTTTGCCATGTGACCCCGGTTGGGTCGTCTAGCTAGTAGAAGTGGAGGATAGGGGCCAGAGGGGCAGACGACAGAGTCCAATGATTGGAGAAAAAAAAAAACATGTTGGCATGTTTCGACTGCTGCTTTCGACCAGGTGAGGCGTGTAGACTACTACTCTCGGGCAATGGGTCGCCGGGATTCCTGTTGGGCGAGCTGCAGACGGTAGTGCACATGAGCAAGAGGGTTCCACATGCAGCTCTGGCGACTGTCACCCCAGTTTGTGAGGAATGCACGGCAAAGACATCATGGTGCATTCAGGTGCCATAAGCGTTCGTGCATTCATGTCGAATAGCACACCCGCAAGGTCGGCCCTGAGACCGACAAGCATGTCTCTGCCGACGTGGCGCTGACAGCAAGCCATCTTGCGTATGCACGTATTCGCTCCCTTGCCAAGAGAAATGCAACGGAGACCGAGGACGAGAGCCACATTTTCTTCCTGAAAACATCATGCCTCCAGGAGACGCTCGAACCGGGGAAAAAGAAACATTGCCATGAAACCACCGGCTCCTCAGTATATCCATGACTCAGACCACTTGCTACAACATCGTGTTTGGCACCAATCAGCTGGCCCGGGCTGTGCCAAAAACACCCTGCCATGCACTCTGAGTGAGTGAGTGAGTGAGTGAGTTCATTACATTACGAGTGAGTTACGGCCTGTGTTGGTGGTGAATATGGATCGACCAACGGGCACCACGCGTAACTACGCGTTTATCGATGAGTGCGAGGTACTGGCGGGGGACGAAGCACGTCATCGCACGGTGAACAAGCGAGGGCATGGGCGATCACGACGGGGAGGCAGGACTAGGTTTGGCGCGAGTGCCGTGAGACAGGGACAGACAGAGACGAGAAACAAGGAGGGGAAATAGCCCAGGAGACAGATATGCGGTGCATGTGGCAGACTCACTCGTTTATTGAAAATGAGCATGACCCCCATCTGCCTTTCCGGCCGCCGGAACGGCTTCTACCATTTTTTCAAACGTTGGCAGCTTTCACGATGCACGTTTCACATCCCCTGCGTGCATCCCCAACTCTGTAGTCCGCCTCAACTACAGAACGCATGAAAGATTTTGCGATAACAGTGTAGCAATCAGTTTCATAGATTCGTTGCGACGGCTGGGTCAAATAGTTCCCTCTCCAGAGTTGAAAAAACATGAGTGCCGGTCGGTTGATGTGTCTTTGGATGACCGGATACGAAGAACAAGGAGACCCAAAACCCTCGGATTACAGGAACACAATGAGTCGTACATGTTTGGCTATAGACTATGTGTTGTATAATGCAAGACAACACCAACAACCGAAGATTGATCGCGAATGAAGGTGATGAGGTAAGCTGGTCAAAGTTACCGGGTTCGAGTTGTTCTCTGCCCTACATCTGAACGTCACCCTTCAAAACTCCGTAGCGCGGCCAATGCCAGCTTGCGTGCTGGACGGTGTTTCGTGCTGGCGAGAGAGGAAACGTGGGGTTCACAATCATTCTTCGCTCGGTGCGTTCTGACTTCGTCAAGGGGGGAGTGATGTTCCTAGTGGAGGCATAAGGCGGGGAAAAGTATGGAGACACACATCAACCGTAGCTCGAGCAAGCGGGAAGAGTCGTCTGGATGTGCTCCCCCCCCCCTTGCCCTGTTGTACCTCTCGAGGTGTTCCAATAGCTTGTTGTGCACCGACTACTGTACAACATTATCGGCTCGCAGTGTTCGGTAACACTGTCGCCGTTCGACATGTGGCCGACTACTGTACTGTAGGCTCTGTGAGCATGAAATCGAACCGGCTTCCATCATCAATGAGCAGGCAGCCCAACCCACAGAGGGCAAGGGGCATGGGTGCGTGTAATTGCTGCGCCACGAAGGAGTGAACCCCTAGCACTATCAACGATAATTGAGTGGGAAGTATGCCCCGGGATGACGATTTTATTTTTTTTTTGTTATGAATGGTCTATTTTAGTGAAATGTTTTGATTACTTCGAGGTTGACCCCAGTTTCGCATACCTCTCGCCTATTTCAGCGTCATTTAGATCTTGAACACTTTCATCGAGACTCAACTGTATGGGCTGCTGCCTTTCAAAACGGAACCTCGAGATGAATTGACAATCGATGACTTGGTCCAATTGCTTTGGAAACACAGCGGTTCAGCGTCAGGTTGGCGAATGTTCTGGCTCCCGCCACACCATGTGGAGCGATTATTTGATATTCTCCTCGTTGGTACTGGACTACGCGTGTTACGATGCGCCCTGCCAGTCGCATTGCGTTGTGAATTCCATACTTCATGCTTGGGAGCAGCGTGAACACTTAATGGGACAAAAACTCCACGGGCACGGACGGGTACGTGTTCGGAAGTCCACTGTCCACTGACGAAACACGTTTCCTTTTGTTCGTGTTGACGCGCGCCCGCCCCCCTGCTGTGGATCTCCCACACATCCGGCGGTTGTGATAATCCGCTCATGAGCAGTCTATTGGCCGCCCGTGAAAAACACCCATGGGCAAGCCCATGGGCTGCTCATGGTGGGCACTCCAAACAGTGCTCGTGGGCAAGCCTACAATGTCCGTCGTGGGCTGCCCATGGGCTGCCCATGGGCACCCCAACCATTAACATTTGCAGCCCATCGTGGGCAGCCCACCACAGTGAGCAAACTGGGCATACGCGTGGGCCGCCCATCGTGGGCAAAGTTTCAGGGAAAACTACGATCCTGTTATGGTCGGCCAATAATATTTTTTTCTCCTATTTACTATGGCGATAGTCCCGCCCAATTCTTCGTGGTGAGACGTGCACTACGCTTTTCAGTATATATCGACTACTACACTTTTCAGTACATTTTTTCATACAACTACAACCATCGAGGGTCACACAGGAAGGAGGTAGTGAACAACCGGGGCTTTTTACTTCTTTTTGTTTATTGTCGTGCCCCACTTATCCCCAGGCTGCGGTGTTTACCATCGGGGTTGGGTTTTCGTCGCTTGGCAACGACGTTGTAAAACAAGTCACCCCATCGGTGTTTGCCATCGGGATTGGGTTTTCGTCGCTTGGCAACGGCGTTGTAAAACAAGCCAATTCACTTCGTGAGCTCGGCAACCAGGCTGCCGTTTTTTTTTTTACCTCTTTTTTTTTCGGCGGTAACCATAGGGGTGGTCGAGTCGATAATGTTGTGCGGGGTGGAGAACCCTCACTCC